GCCTTGGAGCCGTCCCCGAAGCAGCTGCTGCAGGTGTTCCACCCCGAGTGGTGCAGCTCGTCCTTCAGGTGGGGCATGGGCAGCCGGTGGATGACCTAGGGCGCGGGGGTCAGGCGCGCGCGGGGAGCCGGGCCGCCTCGCGGGCAGTGAGCCGGGCTCCCCGCGCCTGGGGTGTCCCGGGCCAAGGAGGAGCCCGCAAAGCGCAGGGGAGGGGGGACAGGCCCGGGGGCCGGAGGAGGGGCAGTCTGAGGCCCACCTCACCTGGCAATACTGGGGTGACTTGGGGTCAACGTCCACCGTGGCCAGATAGTCTGGGGCCTCAGTGGCGGTGTTCCGGTAAATACAGGGCAGGTAGACGATCTCCTCCCTGGGCCCTGCGGGCAGAGCGCGGTGGGGGGCGCGAGGGGTCAGCCACCTCCCCCTGCGGCCAGCAGGGGGCGCTGCGGCCCGCGCTTACCTTTCATGGCGTCCTGCGGGGTGGGGTAGCCGGGTCCACACTTCCCACATTTTGTAGCTGTGGGAATAATGGGGCTCGTAGGCGCCCTGGCTCCCTCCCTGCTCTCAGCAAAACCTGGGACACCCCGCCAGCCACGCCATGCAGTCTCCTCCTGCCCCAGAAGTCCCGATAAACCCGCAGAGCTGCAGACAAGGCCTGAAGGTGGAGGCTGGGGGTCGGGGGCAGTCTCCAGGGAGGGGACTGGGGCAGCAGAGGCTGGGGGCTGGGCTTTGACACCGCTTTGGGTCCCAGCGGGGACTGGTCAGGGCACTTGGGCAAGTTAATCTCTCTGGCTCCACACTATCTGCGAGATGCAGGCCAGAGCCGCCAAGCCCTCCGGGCACAGGCACAGGCCCAGGGACTCGGGGCGGTGGACTCCCTTGGCTAAAGGGCGTCCGCGCAGGGCCTGGAGCACTGTCCTGTCTCCTCAGACCCCTGGCCAGGGCCCGCGACTAGCGGTGCCAAGCAGGGGTCTGGCGAGGGAGGCCAAGGAGCGGGCTGACCCGAAGCCTCGGGCTGGGTACACCACCCCTTTATCGAGAGCAAGGTATTTGGCCTGTGGCCTGCGCTCTCGGCCCCCACGGGAGTTGTGGGAGGGGCCTGCTGTCCACTGGTCTGGCAGGGCTGCCTGGCTGACCTCGGGCCAGAGCACTGGAGGTGGCTGCAGGCCAGGCCGCACCGGCTCGGGCCTGGCCAGGCTGGAGAAATCCCGGAGTGCAGCTCACGGGACTGGGCACAGCTGCCCGCCTGCGCCAGGGCCAGCCTGGCCGCTGTCCAGAGACGGCCCCCTGGGAGCCAGCAGCAGCCGGGGTTTCCGCTGGCACTGGAGCCCAGGCGCTTCCCTGGGGCGCGGCCCCCAGTGCAGCCAGATGACGCAGGAGGGAAGAGGCAGGAGCCGCTTTGCACCCAGAAACCTGTTTTGAACTCCAGCTCCGACGCTGCCAATCGGCGAAGTGAGGCCACCTGGTTCTCCGGTGACCGTGACAGCAGGAGTGGCTGGCCAGGGGGCGGGCCGGGGCAGGCCGAGTGGTGCCCGGTGGGGGCGGGGGCAGGCCTGCCCAGAGGAATTTGAGACTTGCCCGCCCCAGCTCTCTGTTTTGGGGTTTGGCACTGGAGAAGGAAGTGGCTGGATCCAGAGGGGAAGGACAAGCAGAACCCCAATCGCCAAGACACACGGGTCAACTGCGGAGCCAAGCAGCGGGGCGCAAAGCGGGAGGTGCCGCCCTGGGCCCCGCCACTGCCCCCCATCTGCTGCACGCCCCTGAGCCTGGGGCCCCCGTCTTTCTGGACTACACCCTGCCCCCTGCTTGAGCATCTAAGCAAGACCCCCGATCCCTGGGGCTGAGGGGGACAGAGCTGCTGCGGGCTCCGGCTGGCGAGGAGCCGGTCCAGGGGACAGGGACTGGCCGCCACCGCCTGGGGCCGTGCTTCCTGGGGGAAGGGGGCATGAGTCGGAGGCTTTGGGACGGGGAGTGGGGGTTGCACCCTCAGGTGAGCGGGCTCCCTGGCTCCCCTCCCTCGGAGGGGGCATCTGGGGCCCTGGGGAGTGACATGGCCAAGCCTGGGTCCCCAGAGCAAGGGTTCGGCCTGCAGCTAGGACCAGGGTTGCCTGTCTCCTGTGTCCCCAGCAGGGCACAGAGCACCCCGGGTGCACCCCTCGGCCTTCTGGGCTGCAGGAAGGCAACCTGGAGCCAGATGCCAGCCGGGAGCTGCGTGGGAGCCCAGGGTCATGCGCCCAGCAGCTTGCCACCTGCTGCCCGACCCTCCGGGAGCTGACTGCAGCGCCCCAGCCCCGGCTTCCTGTCCCTGACGGGCGACAAGGCGGGCAGCCCTCCTTACCCATCGGCGGTAGCTGCTGGGCCTGGTCCCGAAGGCCTGCCGGGGTGACTAGAGGCGGAAGCTTGGCGCTGTCAGGCGGGCTGTGTCCAGGAGGGGCGAAGGGAGGGAATTTATAGGCCAATTGGGTGGTGGGGCGGACCCGGGGGAGGGCCTGGCTGCAGCCCAGGGAGAGTGTCGGCGGCCGGCCAAGCCCTCCTAAGTGGCCCGGAGGCTGGAGTAAGTCACCGAGTGGAGGAAGGAGCCCGTGCTCCAAGCGGGCGTGTGTGTGCCCCCTGCGTGTGCGTGCGTGGCTGTGCACGGCCCGCTCCCGTGGCCCGCGCGGCCGCCATGGCCCACGTGGCCGCCGTGGCCCATGGGGCCTGGTCCGTGGGCGTGTGCCCGCCTGGGAGAGCGTGGGCCATGCTCCTGACCGACAACCCTCTGCACTTGGACCTGGCTCTTGGCAGCTGGGGCGCCTCGGGCTGCGGGCCCAGTCGCTCCTGTCCCACTGCCAGGGCAGCTGTCCCCAGAGGGTGCCCTCTGCTTTCCTGCACCTGGGCCTGCCCACTCCGCCCTGAGGCCGCCCGGGGAGCCCCCGTCCCAGACTGCTCGCTCACGCCCCTTGAGCTTTGAGCTGGAAGCTCGCAGGTGCCTGCAGACGGCGGCAGGTGCAGCGGCTGCCGCCCTCTTCTCCCAGCCTGGCGCCTCCACAGGCCCTGGGTGCGGAGGCCCAGCCTGGCGCCGCTGATCCAAGCTGCCCTGTGACAAGTCACGCAGCGCGGGGGTCCAGCCCCCGGAGGGGTCCTCCAGCTGAGGCTCGTGTTCCCAAGGCCCCGACTTGCGCGGCTGCAGGGGGCGGGCCTGGGCCTGATCCGAGGCTGCCCTCCCGTGGAGAGGCCCCGGCTGGCCAGAGGCCCAGGGGGCCCACCCAGTCAGCCCCCGGGAAGCCCGGCTGGCACTCCCAGGCCGCCTGCACTGTGCCTGGGGGCCGCCTGCCCGGCAGGAAGTTTCCTGGGTGCGAGAGGGACAAAGTCAGCCTTGAGGCTGCTGAGAGCACAGGCTTGCAGCCAGGGTGAGGGGTGGTCACAAGGGGCTGCAGGTGACCAGCTGTGCTGTCCCGGTGGGGGACAGGCCCCTCCGGACTCCCCACATCACTTGTCCTTCGTGTCTCAGTCCCCCCCCCGTACCCTCAGCCCAGTGCGGCCGGCGGGCACCGCTGCCCGTGGGGGCCAAGGGCTGCTGCCCGGCCTTTGCTGGCCTCCGGCCTCTACCCCTCACGCTGCCCCCCGTCACAGGACGGGGGCACACCGGGGTGGCCCTGTAAGCACCCAGCCTGCACGCCCGCCTCCGCGCCGGCCCGAGAGGAGCCCGTGGAGACGCAGTCAGAGGGGCAGCCCCGGGCTCTGGAGGCCGCTGGGCCGGGAACTGCCCAGTGCGGCCTTGCTGGGTCCGGAGAGGCCCTGGTGAGGGTCCTGCCTGCGCCTGGCAGCCTCGGCCTTGCGGCCACCCGGCCCATCTCTGCTTCCCCTGCGATCCCTTCTGCAGAACCTGAGGGCTGGGAGAGGCCCATCCAGACCTCCTGGAGGCAGTGCGGAGGTCGGTGGTCACGGGGTCTGGTGGCCACCGGGGTCAGGCGGTCATGGGGTCAGGCGGCCACTGAGGTTAGGTGGTCACTTGGTCAGGCGGTCACGGGGTCAAGTGGCCACCGGGGCCAGGCAGTCACGGGGTCAGGTGGCCACCAGCTCAGGTGGTCATGGGGCCAGGCGGTCACGGGGCCAGGCAGTCACGGGGTCAGGCGGTCACGGGGTCAGGCGGCCACGGGGTCAGGCGGTCACGGGGTCAGACGGCCACGGGGTCAGGCGGTCACGGGGTCAGACGGCCACGGGGTCAGGCGGCCACGGGGTCAGGCGGCCACGGGGTCAGGTGGTCCGGACCCACCCACAATCCTATATGTCTCTTTCCGCACAGGTGGGCTTGGGCCTCTGCCCCCCCAGGTCCCCAACTGTCCCCCAGGGGGCGACTGCCAGGTGGGCAGGGCTGCAGGTGCCCCCGGGCCCAGCACCCCGTGGGGCAGAGGCGGGAGGGCGCGGGGGTGGGGGTGGGGTGGGCGCACCGGCTCAGGGCACTCCCGGGTGCGGCGCCCGCGAGCTCAGCCGGCAGCTGGTTACGTGGCAGCCTGGACTGGCTGGGGATGGGGCCTCCAGGCGCGGGGGGCTGCCGCCGGTGGCGGGGGACGCTGGTTCCCCCTTTTTCTTGTGCCCTCCGACGGATCCATGAAATGGCAAAAACTGGGGGCAGGCAGGACTAAACCCAGCGAAGGAAGATGCGGCCGGAGCTTCTAAGAATAATTTAATATAAAAAAAAAGGAAAGGGAAGTAGGAACAGGCCGTTCTCCATCGCGCACAGCAAAACAAAGAAGACAAAGGGCGCCGCTGACCCCTGCCCTGCTGACCGGGGCAGCCGAGGCCGTGAAGGCGCCTCCCTAGTCCCCCGCGAAGGTGTTGAAGGAAGAGATAAAGGGAAACGGCGGATGTGGGGCGGGGCGGCCTGCCCACACTTGTACCCCTAAACACAGGGGGGTGGCCGTTGGGTGGGTGGACTGGGGTGGCCGACAGGCCTCAGCCCCCAGCGTGGCGCTCCCGGGGAGATGGGGCGGCCCGGAAACAGTGGTGATGGGGGAGGGCACCCCAGCGCTGGGGGGTTGTGGGGTGTGGGGGGACGCGAGGGAGGTTCCAGATGGGCCCCAGCAGACACAGGCATGCAACAAGTGGGCACACAAGCGGCGCACCCCGCGAGGAAAAGTGCGAACTGAGGGGCGGGTGGGGCGGCCCGTGGGCCTGGAGGGACTGGCCGGGCAGGTTGCGGCTTTGACCAGCTAAGCAGAGTTTCTGAGCCCGGCCTGCGCATTCTGCTCCTTTTAAGAGACCAACTGCCACCCTCCGGGGCGGGCGTTCACCGAGAACCGCCTGGTGCGCTGGCGGGGGGCCAGGCCCTGCACCCCAGCCCGGTCCCCCGCCCCCAAGCTGGGCAGGACTTCGCCTCCTCCGACCGGCAGGCAGCCGCCCTGGCTCGGGCCTGCAGCTCAGGGGTCCTGGGCCGCCCTGCCTGGCCCCGGGCTTCCCCTCCACCCTGGGCCCCCGCCTCTGCTGCAGGGTGACGGCTGAGCCCGCCCCCGGGCCAGGCGCCTGATCGTGGCCAGGCGGGGGCAGGTGTCTCCTCTCCTGTCACTCGAGCAGCCCCTGAGGGAGCCCTGCCCGCTCAGGCCAGGGAGGAAGGCGCTTGAAATCAGCTGGCGCTGGGGCCCCGGCCCCAGCACCCCAACTCCTCCCTGAGCAGCTTCCCACTTGACCCCCTTCTGCCCTACAGTGAACCCCCCCTCCCTCCCTCGCACAGCTGGAAGCCAGGCATGAGGCACTTTGTCCCCTCGAAGGGAACCACGGGCCGCGTGGCTTCTCCGCAGTCGTCCTCAGCATTCCTCATTAATTTCCTTCCCTTGTTGCTTCCGGCAGCCTGGGTTCTCCCCTCAGGTGCAGTGGGTGCCCCCAGGGCCCCCATCTCCCGCCCTCCCCGGTGTGCTCCCTGCTCAGCTTTCTCCCTCGTCGGGGAGCGGGAGACGGCCGGGGTTTCCCTCTCCGGCTGCTCCCGGAGCCCCGGCGCCCCGTCACGACTTTGTCTTTTTTTTTAAGATTTGTTTATGTATGCATGCAAGAACTGGGGCGTGGGCCGGAGGTGCAGGGGTGGAGAGGACTCCCCAGAGACAGTGGGGGGCAGGCAGGCGGACCCACTGACAGCCACTGCTGAGAGGCAGCGGGGAGACCGGAGGGCTGCAGCGCCCCGGGGTCCCTCCGGGCTGGGGTGGACTCGGGCATCCGGCCGACAGCCTGAGACTCAGCCCTGGGCCACAGGGGGCCCGGATCCATCCTTCTGGACCGCTGAGGGGTGCTGCACGCGTGTGGCGACCACAGCGTGGCTCCCGCAGGTGTGGGCACTCAGGCCATGTGCTCACCTCGGAAACAGGCCTGGCCGCCTGGGCCACGGGGCTGCTTTCTGTGCTTGAGGGGCCCCGCAGCCCCCCAGGGCTGGGCCCGTCTGCACCCCACCTTATGCGGGCGCTCCTCACGGGGGGGGGGCTCCCTGGCCTGGGCCGTGTCGCGGACCCTGCCGAGAGCCGTCGCTGGCCGCTGTCAGTGTCCCCCGGGACGAGTGTCTCTGCCCGTGTGCCCACGTCGGGTGTTTCTGTTTTCAAGAGAGAAGGTAACAGCAGGGCAGACGGGT